TCACCCTTAAACTCAAACTGTCAATCAGAAAATCACAAAGCAGGATACAAATAACATAAGCTTGTAGCAGTGTAGAATTCACATGTGGCTGACATGCTGAATGATTCATAAATATCTATCTGTACCTCAGAAAAGCAGCAGAATTTGGCTGAATAATAAGAGGTCAAAGAGAAGCCTAAACATTCAAGTTATAAGTAATCGGAGCAGGCAAAAATGAATTTTTCATTAAGGCAGAGAGAGTGCAAAAATATAGGCAATTTGTTATAAATGGATTTAGAATAAACTAGCTAAATTTTACATTAAGTGTGAAATATAAATGCTTATTTCATATACACACAATTTATTTTCGTGTTTAAGGGGGAAAACTGGGATACAATCTATGAATCATGACTATCTTTGTAAGAGGCTATTTTAAGAATTAATTTTGTTTTAGCATAGTGTAGAAGAAAACTTTTATGATTAGCTTTCTGTATGCTATATTGCTCTTTTGATAATGAATAATGTATGTTGCCATTATTTAAATAAATTAGTTTTGATTCAGGCCAAGATGTTGGATGATTGTATTAGAGAGTATAACAAATTCTTTTATCGATGCTTACCTCTAGAAAATCAGAATTTGAAAAGAATTTCAGACATTAGTGATCTGATTCCTTAAAGGTTGGTGAATTCCTGTAGATATTTGGCTTTAAATTTAGGAGCTTTGATTAAAATTCAAATTTGCTTTACTTGTTGAATTTTTTTCTGTGCTTTGGGTTGTATAAATTAGGCACATGCTCATTATGTTAAATCTCTTGCCATTTATGAGGTGTAAAGTTACTAGTATAGGCCATTACTTTTGTAATAGGGCATAGAGATTAGCATTTCCTTTTACCTTAGAGAATAAACTAAGAATATTATCCTTAAATAGAGGAAAACATTTTCTTGCAATAGGTCAGGAAACATGCTTTGTGTGGATTGTAAAAGGATGTTCTCTTAATGATCAACATTCTGAAGGAGAATTCATGGGTTATTTTTATAGAAGAAACTATAGAAGAAACAGGATTGGTAGCTGGAGTCTAGAAATAGTATATCAAAATGACTACCAGGGCAGCTTTTGAAGTCAGCTTCTTTTGTTAAAATCCTGAACTGCCTCTGATTAGGTTCATGACCTTTGGTGAGATATTTAATCCCACCATTCCTCCTTGCAGCATCACCAAAATGGACATGAAATAATGAATGCTACTCAACAGAGTTGTTTCTTGTATTAAATGAATTAAGACATAATTAAAATATTCAATATCTACTTCAAATATATTAAATAAGCATTATTCGTACATTGAATAGAATAATATTCAGTTCATAAGAAGCTAATATGGTCATAATCATGTCATGTGAGCAGAAAATCTCAGAAATCAATATAAATTTTTATAGATGAATAGATCTATGTTGATATTAGAAATTTAATGTTTAAATTTATTTTCTTAGCAGAGACTAATAGGAAGTATTAGATTACTCAAAATTACAGAAAATTTTAGTATGGGTTGCTGAAATCTGTTTTGTGAAATATTATTTATGACTGCATTTCAAAATGTGTGATTTACTACTGAGAGACAAAACATGTAAAATAACTATGGGTCTTTATAAATTTCTATATTTCTAAAAAAATTCAAATGGATTAGAAATACTCAAAATTGAGTAATTAATATTATCTAGAAGACAATGCTAATGTTCAATCTTCAATTTCCAATTGTTTTTAAAATACTCATTTATCCTTATTACTTCACTCTTAGTAGGTTATTCAACAAAATGTGTATGTCTCTTCATAAACAAAATTACGAGATTACATGAATTCCTGCTAATTTTTCTTTTATTTTTGTACCAGGAATCAAACTCAGGACCTTGCGCTTGCCAGGCAGGGTCTGTGACACTGTAGCTGTATCCCCAGACTCTCTTGCTAATTTTATTGATTTTTTTAAAAATCAGCCTTTTCAACTCTAATGTATTTCTGGCATTGTGTCAATCACAACCATTTTGAACTTTCTGTAATTGACGAAGTAATTACTTTTCATGCTTTTAAATCATGTCTGCTTTTTGTAGCTATTAACCAATTTCCTGCTTTGCTCTGGGCTAAATTAAATTATGACACTAAAACCAGAAGGGCCCCCAAAGGTTTTTCCACTATATTAATAAAACAATCATCAGTGTATAAGAAGCCTTTTTGTCCTTGTAAGTAGAATATAGAAAGAGTTTTGTTAGAGTTGACAAATGACACCTCCTATTCTTCAGGGCTTGTTGTCTGGCAACAGCAAAACTGTGGGACAATATAAGCAGATGATGTGGCACAATTGTTTAGTGACTCCAAACAACACCATGTTTTTTCTTCTATAGCTCACTGCTCCTTGCCCTCTTTTAGAAAAATGAGTGTAGCATGAATGGAAATACACTTTTGCTCCATTCTCGCTTGCATGGCTACAAGGCTGTAACCAAATAGTTAAACTGAGGCGGAACCTACAGAACTTCGCAGATTCTAGTGAGGTTGATTATGTGCCTCAAATATTTTCAACAGCTATTGATTTTAAAATGGAAATTCAATAGACAGAAGTTCATGATGTGTGTTGAATGTCACATATATAAATAGATCTGATGTATCCAGCTCAAAATTAGTGAGCAACTGTTTAGAATTATTCATTCATCAGATCTTGGCATAAATAATATTACAAATTTAAAAATTTAGCCATGCTGAAATTTAACATAGTGCATAGGCCATAAACACAAGCAGTAATGAGTGCTCATATCTAACAATGAAAAATTCTTGTCATATTCACAACATGGAAAGAATTTCAACAGGATGTTCATGATTTCTTGCAAAATCATGGATAGGATAAAATGTAGCCTTGTATTTTCTTTGAAAATGGACTGTAGTTAAAGTAATTTAAATATAGGTGATTTCATTGCCTAATACCTTGCCAGTAAAGAATAGTAGAAAAATAAGTCTTACAAGAATTAAAAAGAAAATAGAATAATACATTTTGTCTTTTTCACTTTGAAATTTTTGGGGATTTTTGCTAAATACATTCTTACTGATAACATAAAAAATTTATATGAATCTTTTCAATTTTATGTTGCGGTATTTAGACATTTTTGAGAAGTTTTCTATAGAAATTGTGCCACAAAGCAAAAGTTATTTTAAAATAGGTAATATGGAACTAAGAAAAAAAACTAGATGATTAATATACACATATAGTTTAAACATTTTAAATAATTTAGCATGAATTTGCTAAAAAACGTAACAAATTAGGAAATTTTTTTTCAAGTATTTCTTTTGCTGCAGATTTGGTGTGTTTTAGTATATTTTTAAATTTCTTTGATAATGAAAAGTTTCCTCCTCTAACCAGTTATATGCAGATCGCAACATTTTTCCTTGGTTTTGAAAGAATTCTTTTATACCAAAGCAATTGAAAAGAAAATGTGTGAAAGTAAAAGAGCAATACTTTAGACCTCATTTAAGTACAATTCTTTGTGCTCATGAAATGTTGCTAGGGGAGGAGCGAGGGCTGTTAGGAAGACAGATATCATACAGGCATGTCAATCACATTTAATAGGCAGTGTTGGAAGGTAATCTCCTTCTCCTCATCAGTCTCTCTCAGTCTGGTAGACAGAACTCATTACTGTGCAAATGAACCTGCCAGACGCTTCAGCCATTTGCCTCAGAGGAGGTCACAAAGAGTTGACACCAGTTAAAGCTGACTAAATATGGGCAGGGAAAAACCAAGGAATGAAAGGAGCTCCATAGGTTGAAAGCAGTATCCTATTGACAATAACCTTAAGGGAGTTTAAAAAGTCCTTGCAGCATTTTCAAGAAAAGAGTTTTTATCAAAGTGGTTCATATATTTAAAATTTGTTCTTTCTTTCACTTCTATGGAAATGTTCATTGAAGTTACCTAACACGATAGTAAGAAATTTTAGATCAGCACCCTTTAGCCTAGCAGGGAATTTTTTAAAAAGTTAGTATCACTATCAATAGGCTAGAGTTTGGTGGGTGAATCAGCCGACTTAAAAACACTAGTAGAACACAATCTTATTAACACTGATGGTAATTCTAATTATTATACTTAGTCCCTTTCACTGTTATTTTGTAGAGGTCTGCTAAACATTTCTTTTCTTTTTGGTTTTTCTCCGGTACCGGGAACCGAACTCATGACCTTGCGCTTGCCAGGCTGGCGCTTTGCCGCTGAGCTAAATCCCCAGCCCCTCTGCTAAACATTTTCTTGTTTAATTCACAAAACTGCCTAAAGAGATACGCATCACTGTTTTGTAATTGAGGAAAATGGAGTTGTTATATCTTGACTCCAAAGTTCAACCTTGTAGAGTTTATTATTTTATGATTGCTAGCTATATTTATTTTCAATAGTTGTGTATTTAAAGTTACTTCTTATAGTAATTATGTAAGATATTTTGTTCTATACCGATGAGATTAAAGTTTAAGAGTTAATTTGCTTGAGTTCTAGAAATTTAGTGAGTACTTCAGATATGAATTTCTCTATATGTCATTTCTTCCCTAAACTTAGCCACTCACGGAGCTTTCAAATACGCTGTAGATATAATAAGCTTTTCAAATATGCTTTAGATACAATATCTATAGCAAAAACAAGACTTATGCTTAAGGTTCTATGAAATAAAAAGCCTATATAGTATTTCCCAGTTTTTATTATATTGTAGAATATCTCTAATAATAAATGGTCTAGACTAGAACTGATGCAATGAAATTTAAATACCACATCATGAAAAAAACCCTACAAGGCTATGAAGAGGAAAACATAGACTAATCATAAATTCCTTAACCCGTTGCTAATTTTCCCATGTGTGCTTTAATCTCGAATTTTATGACAAAATATTTGTTACAGTTATAGGCACCAAATTTGTTTAATATATTTGGCTTTACCTCAATGGACTGCTTAAATATATTGTTTAATGTTTTTCACAATTCTGTACATATAAAAAGAAGAGTCCCCTTAGTTTTGTTTGTTTATTCAAAACACTCATTTACTTATTGCAAGTGGTCACAGCAAAAAAGGCAGTAAGTAATGCATTATTTTTTGGAATACACAGGGTCTGCAACACAGGGAGTCGGGGCCCTTCGCGACACCCCCTCGCGGCCCTGCGCGGCACCCGTCGCGATCCTTTGTCGGCGCCCGTCGCGGCCCTTCGCGGCCCCCGTCGCGGCCCTTCGCGGCACCCGTCGCAAACTCCATCACAGCAAAAGAACAAAGCAGGCTTAACATTTCAAGTGAGAGAATTGGCATGAACAGGTTTTACAGAAACAAACACCTTAGAACCACATCAAACCGCTTTAACAAATTACAGTCACATGAACGAAAACTTCTTGGAGGGTTACGCCCACATCCGCACTGCAGGACCATGTTCCGAAAAACTGGAATCGCAAACACTGCGTTCCGTTCAGATCTCGTCAATGTCTTCCTCATCACCTCCAACGTCATCGAACTGAATTTCATCATCATCTCCGGGCCCGAAGGAATCCGCTTCGCTGATCTTCGCGTGCTCGGGGAGCTCGCCGTAGGCTTTCAGACTTCTGGCCTCATCCGCGTTGTACTTCAGAATCACATCCGCTTTGTTATCCTGGTAGTCTCGGAGACCAACCAGAATGATGTCTGAGGTGTTTATCCAGACCTTCTTCCTCAGCTTCCCTCGGATGTGACACAACCGCTTCACGCCATCGAAACACATCACTTCCAACCGTCCGTTTCCCAGTGTCTTCATTACCTGAGCATATTCTTGCCCATCTTCTTTGAACACCAGTTCTCTTTTCTCAGATTCATTTTCATTCTTTCCCCTGCGTCGGTTTTTACCTCCTTTGCCTTTATTCTTCGGCATGGTGGTTACTACGGCCGCGCGGCTTCTCAGACTTCTTCCCCGGTGACCGCACGTGGACTCCTCGGAGCAAAATGGATGCCACGAAGGGCCGCGACGGGTGCCGCAAAGAGCCGTGAGGCGTGTCGCGAAAGGGCCTGACGGGTACCGCGAAGGGCCGTGAGGGGTGCCGCGAAGGAGCCCGACGGGTGCCGCGAAGGGCCGCGAGGGGCGCCGAGAAAAGGCCGCGACGGGTGCCGAGAAAGGGCTGCGACGGGTGCCGCGAAGGGCCGTGAGGGGGCGTTGAGAAGGGCGACGGGCACCGCAAAAGGCCGCGACGGATGCCAAGAAAGGGCCGCGACGGGTGCTGAGAAGGACCACGTGGGACAGGGCTGGCGCTGGAGGCCGAGGAGCATGCCAGTATTATTAGTTTGTATTATTACTCTGTTAGTATTATTACTGTTATCAAGAGGGTTTTATTTCATACTGACGGGCTCATGACTTTTTTTTTTTTTTTTTACTACAAAATTACTGATTCCCGCTTATGATATTGTAAGTCAGCTGTCTCGTTTTTGTTCCTCAGTGTTCTTTGCCCATGTGTACTTGCATTTTTGTCAGGTATCTAGGTTATTATTTTTATTTCTCCAATATACTTTTTGTTGGTTTTCAATTCAGTCTGACTTGCATGTAGCTGTTTTCCTCTGAAATCAAACTCTCTGGTAAAATAGTAAATTAAATTCAGAGTACTGCAGTGTTCCTAGCTTTCTTTTCTTTTGTCATTGTGTTTAAAGACTAGAGTCACCAAAAGAAGCCAATAATGGCTACAATTTCATACTCTAATAAAACAGTGCATTTTAATAAAGCAATGGAAGTCAGTAGAACAGCTCTCCTAGCTATCGTGTGTGTGTGTGTGTGTGTGTGTGTGTGTGTGTGTGTATTTTTTTTTCTTTCTTTTTGGAACGTTTAAGGTTTAATTGTTTGATCAATCTTACATGACTGTATTTGTTTAACTGAGTAACCAATTTGAAGATAACAATATGTAATATAACAACCATTGTTAATTTCCTATTATTTTGCCTGAAATTCTGTGTTGCTTCTGTTGTCTGGGTGTTGTTTTGTTTATGTCTGTTTGTTTGTTAATGTGTTTTCATTTTTTTATCTGTAAAATAAAAAAACACTGTATTTTCAAAGTAATTTTTAAAAATATTTCACTATAAATGAAATACTTATACAAGAGAGTTTAAAACTTCTGAATTATAGCCGTTGTAAAATAAAACAATGAATATAATTGTCTGATAGTGGGGGCAAACATTATGTGTTCAACAGTGCCTTAATCATAAACCCTGGATTGATACTTTTTTTAAAAAAAGACAAAATCATAAAATTAACAGTCTTTATCTAATATATTTTCCTAGTGGATTTGCCAGTATTTCTCCAGCCATGATTGTAAAGTTAACCTTTCAAAAGATGAAAGAGCTGAAAATAAATCAATGTGAGAGGAAAACCGGAAAGATTTTATCTGTGGAAGACAGGGAATAAACAATGAAACAGAAACAAAGAGAGGAAGATCAGAGATACATTAATCATAACAAATTCTCTCCCAGAAGAGCAGAATGGAAATTAAGAACTAGTGATGGGTAAGCCTTTTAAAGTCTAAAGATGAGGGTCCAGATAAGAAACAGCCTTCTCCTGATTATCCTAACCTTTCTCACAAAGGTTGAAACCAGATTGGAAATATGAGAACAGGCTTTCTTGTAATATATTTCTTCTTCCAGCGCCAGTCCAGCTGGAAATGCATAGAAGCATGAAAATGAAAAAGAAAACAAACAGAAATAAGCTAACCAAAATTTTGAACCATAGGAGAAGTTCACTTGGGTTTGGGTAGGCGTAAGTCACTATTTCATTTGAACCAATTGTTCCCTTGTTTTCAGTAAGAGCTCTTTGTTGTTTTTTGTAAATGAGCCTTCATGGAAATAGTTCATCATGTCTTCACAAAGAGCTGGCATTATTATTTTTTCCATTAGAAAGAGTTTAAAGTATCATGGTAAAAATGTTGAAGAAAAGGACATGGTTTGAATCAGGGCACGGTGGCTCAAACTGAAAGTAATTAATGAGAACATTCTCACAAATGGTGCAGATACAATACAAATGAATTATGCTATATCATAATAGATTCAGGAAACCTTTGAAGGGCAGAAGCCTGACAGCATGATATAAAGGGATCAATGTGCAAATTGTAGTATTATTGCTTTGATTCCATTTTTCCAGAGAAAAGCGGTGTAATTACAGAGCCAATTATCTCAATCTGCAATAATGCACCAAGTAAGTGTCTACATGTTCATTTGGAGGCTTATTTAAAGGGTCAGAGAACAAAACCACAGCTTAAAAAAAGAAAACCACTGAATGTCTTGATGTGATATGAAGAAAAATCCACTGTTTTGGCTCTGTGAGAGCAGGAAGAACTTCACATATGTTGAGAATCTATTGCAATCTGAAACAGGAAAACAAAACAAAGACATACTTTGTTTTCTCAAAGTAAAAATCTCCCACAACACTCACAGACATATTTTGTCTTTATACAGTAAAAATCAACAGCAACATAAAACAATTCCTGATTTCTGTAAGTGAAAAGCCCAGCGGTAATTGTGGTGGTAGGCCTGACCCAAACAGGACTCTGGCTCCATGTTTCTGTTATCTCTGCAATGCCCTCTTTTATAATTGTCTCAAGCCTCAGACTTATGGCTGCCACTAGCAGTCAGGGTTACAAGCGCTCTGATTTGCACCCAAGAGGAAGGAGATTACCACCTCTGATGACTATCAGGAAAATTCCAGATTTAGTCGAGGAACTACTAGGTCTCACTTACCGAGGCTACTATTCATTCCTCAGCCAAACTTTCAACAAAGGGACAAGAGTATGTTGATTAGACGATGTCACTGAGGAGCTTGTTTTGGGTTTAATATCATCAAAAGCATAACATGAATAAAGGTGGAGAAATGATTGTTTCCCTAAGGAAAATCTGGATGCTTTAAAAATATATGATACAGCTATTATACACGAAAGTAATGAGTAACCAATATCATATTCCAGATATAGAGATAAGCTTAATAAAAATACTATAAAAATGGGAGAACATAATAAAATTACTTTGCATATATATTATTAATTTGATCAGTATAAATTTAACTTTTCAAAAGTATTGTATTCTTATAAAATTAAATCTGTACTATTTGCATAGCAAGAAAGAAAATCTGAACTTGGTCATATGTTACTACTTACTATTACGTTTCCTCTCTGATTTGTGAGTCATATTTTCCAAATCAAATTCCAAACAGCTTTCTCAACGAAAGCACATTCAGGATAACACAATATACAATTAAAGAGATAAATTTATTTCAAAAATAGTGGAGTAGGTATAGGTTGGTAACTAGTAAGATATTAAACTTAGAAGAAGTAAATTTTAATGTTTTAAAGCACGAAAAGGTAACTATAATTAGTAAAATTCTACATTATATTTCAGGAGAGCTACAGACGTGCATTTTGAGTGTTCCTAAAATAAATAAATGAGATGGTGGAGTAAAGACCAGCAGAAAAATACAACCACTCTGGAGGAACTTAGAGCAGAGACACCTGGAGAAGAACAACTTGGTAAAGAAAAAAAGTTGTATTACTTGGTTTGGGTTTCTAGGTCTCCTAGAGGTGGTTTGTAGGTTATTTCTGTCCTGAGCAAAGAATTGGTCAAGACAAATACAAAAGGTAGAGAGGTTTCACATTTATTAAAGGTAAGAAAAGAAATAACTATACAGAGTAAGTTTGGGCCAAGAAAAAGTAAGTTCTTACTTTACCATGTAAGAACAGACTCCTGTGAAAAAACACAATAGTCCAGTACTCAGTAGTCTTTTGTATGTCTTACTTCTTAGGTTGATGTCAGGTCTAGGTTGTCCTATCCCAAACTGCTTTAGTTCTCGCGACAAGTCCCTGTGTAGGGCTTTGAGACCTGTTCTGAGCAGGCGTCCTGGCACTTTACAATTGACAGATTATGCCCATCTTCCCAGCCAGCCTAATCTCTTGCCTCAGTAGATCTCTAGAAGTCAGAAGGAAATTAAGTAAAAACTATAGAGAAACTGATGAAATGGATCACAATGCAGAGAAAAAAACCTGAAGCAGGCTGGAAAGCTAACCTGGCCCCTGGGGAATGGGTCTGTCTCTGTTAAGTCGAGGTAAGCCAGCAGTGGGTCAGCAGATCCTGGGAGAAATGAAAGGCCAGCTGTGCTAGACCCAAGAAAAGCCCATTCGTGGTAAACTGCAAAAACAATGTGGAATTTTGCACCAAAAGTGACTCCTTCTACATGGTACCCTAGAGTTGGGGAAAAAAATTCAGTGTATCCCCCACCATATTTTAGAGTTTAATCAGGCCACTTTGGGAGGGGCTCAATTCTTTAAGCCTGAATCACAGAAAGACTACAGGGCTTTGCGGGTCAGCCAGCTATAGTGAGTGGCTGGGAAACAGTCTCAAGGGATAGCCACAGAGAGAGTGTGGGTTAGATATAGAAGTGTAAACTCGGGCCAAAATTGAGAGGGTAGCTCTGTCTTGTGTGGCTTTCAGAAGGAACTGTATCTGAAGGTGCTGGCACTAAGACCAGCAGATTGCTTGACACCCCTGCCCTGCTGCCTTCATTCAACACAGTACTCAGAGGTCTGCTTGCTTTCTCTGCCAGTGTGATCAGGCATGTGCCTTGGCTTGGGTGGTTGCCACGGCCTGAAGTGTGCAGACAGCAGGGCCTGTGGAGCAGTGGGTGGTCAGGATGGGGCAACTCACAGATTTACGAGCCAGAAAGTTAGGCAGAGAAAGCTGTGACTTAGGAACCACACAGAGGAAGAAGAGAACTGGGAGTGGCTGTAATCAGTACAGCCCGAGGGCAGACAGACACCTTGGACAAACAGCATCCAACCAGAACGGTGAGATAGGATTCAGGCTTCACACACAAAGATGTCAGTCTGGAAACAAAACAGGTCTCAGTAGTGACTCCCTCTCCATTCCATATCTGGAGATGCTGGAAAGAATCCACTTGTTCAAAAATGAAGGAAGAAGTTTCTGTGGACTAATTTCTCTTTTTTCATCATTGGTCTCTTTTCTTCTTGAGTGACACATGTCCCCATAATTCCTTCTGCGGTGATGCAAGAGTGGAGGTCTCCATCTGTAGCTACTTTCTGCTGAACAAGGTTGCAGGTCCTATCCATGAGCAATTAGGTGATCTCCAACTACCCTGGAGTGTTGTGCCTCCCAGACTGGGTTGAAAAAAAAATAATCTGACAGAAGATGGTGAGAAGAGTTCGTGACTGTTGAGCTGCCTGTTTAATGAGAAAAAGCTTCATGTACTTTTCTATCAGGTAGGAATGTAGAGGCCCAAACATGAGGTCAGATTTTCATGGTTCCTTTGTGGTATAGCAAAGAGGGTTGTTAGATAAATTATCAGAAGTCCACGAGTAATTGCCCTGGCAAGATTACTCATGGCATAGATAAAACTAAAAACAGCAGTCTCAGTACATGTGCTTATTTAAGATGTAGTGAATTAGTGTCATTAGTGACTATTTATCTGTACCTGAGCAGAACTTGAGCCTTGCTTTTCTCAGAGGAGCCTCACCAGAGTAGATTTCTTCTCTTAAGTGGTCACTTTCTTCAGACAGTTTAAGTGAGGCTGATTTTATCCTAGAAAAGTGAATCAAGTTGTGCATCTCTGCCACCTTATCTACAGTGGCAAGGATCACTGGAAAGAGCCCCTTCCATTTTGGTTTTAATTGATCTGGAGGAGTCTCATATTTTCAAGTTTTAATGGGCACCTCGTCTCCAGGGTGGACCTGGTGGGACTCTGCTCTTGTACAGTTGGATAACCTGCTGTATTCGACCTGGATTGATAAGATATTGTAAGAGTCTCATAGTCGCTGGCTCCACTGCTGTATCATATGACATAAAAGTCCTCTCGTGCAACATCATAAATGGACTCATACTTAACCCAGTTTGTGGAGTGTTCCAAACCGTATGAAGGCTGTTGGCAGTAGTTGGAGCCAAGACTCAAACATCACTTGGTAAAACTTTGCTGGAGCTCAGTTTAGGGTCTGGCTGGCTCTCTCAACTTCTCCAGAAGGCTGAGATCTCCATTTGGAATGGAGATAGTGTTGTATTCCTAAAGCATTGCCACCCTCTGAGTTATTTGAGAGGTAAAACAAGGCCCATTGTCACTCTACAGGGACTGGAGTAGTCCAAAGTAGGGCAAGATTTCTTTGAGGAGCTCCTTACTACCTCCATAGCCTTTTCTGAATGGATAAAGAAGGCCTCAAGCCAGCCTGTAACTGTCAGTTAGGACCAATATTTGTTTAAATGCTGCACAAGCTGACATGTAAATTCTAATCACCGGTCCTCTTCAGGGTATATGCCTTTCCTGTGTGCAGGTTATAACAAAGGAGGTGATTATTGTAAGCACAGAGTGGGTGAGCTCTGTGCACCTGTACACTTTGTGGGGTTACTCCTAGTCCTAGTCCTGTAAAAATCAGAGCGGCCATTTCCCATGTAGCATCTCTTTCCATGTGTGAAGAATCATAAAGGGTTTTTGTAGCTTTGTACCATATCCTTTCAGGACTGGTTCATTTTCTAAATACCATCAAAGTTCCTTTTCATTTCCCCTTATCTCATTGTCCTTTATCTTCCTGGGGTGGGGGGTGTAAGCTGGCCTTAATGGTTCTTCAGGAACTTGGAATAAGGCTAGGTTCTTAAGTGGCTATTAGGCCTGTAGTTAGCCACACCCAGCCTTTCTCATTGGAGAACAGAATAAAATGATCTCCATTTTTTTTTGTTTTGTTTTATTTTTTTCCGGTACCAGAAATCGAACTCACGACCTTGCACTTGCCAGGCAGACTCTGTGGCGCTGAACTAAATCCGCAGCCCCAGTGATCTCCATTTTAACCACATGGTCTTTCCACTACAATCAACCCACAAACCTCAGCACACATGCACGTGCGCGGGTGCACACACACACACACACACACACAGACACACTTGCAAAATGAGAACAAAATGTCTCCTAAAACTTAAAACTCCCTAACATAGATCTATAGGCCATGAATGGGGAGGAAATTGAGGGTGCTGGGAAAACTGGCCACCCACAGGCAGAAGACTGACTCAAGCCCGTATTTCTTACCATGTATGAAACTATAGTCAAAATGGATCAATCATTTAATTATTAAAACAGAAACAGCTGGGTGTGGTGGTGCACACCTGTAATCCCAGCACTTGGGAGGCTGAGGCAGGAGGATAGTTCTGAGTTCAAGACCAGCCTGGGCTACATAGTGAACTCAAGGCCAGCCCGAACTGCATAGTGAGACCCTGTCTCAAAAAGACAAAACAAAACAAAACAAAACAAAACAAAACAAAACAAAACAAAACAGAACACCTAGAAACATACACAGTAATCTGCCAGAAAATAAATAGGAAAGATTAGTGATGATAGAAGCATAGGCAAGAACTTTCTGAATAGAAAACCAGTTGCACAAGAAATAACATCAAGAACCAGAAAGTGGAATTACACCAAATCAAAAATTGCTGCACAGCAAAGGAAACAACCAACAGAGTAAAAACATAACCTACACAATTAAAGGTGATATTGCTAAGTAGTATTGGGACAAATGACAATATTTACCACAAGTAATAAACTAACAAAATTAGATCTCCCAAAATAAAAGATTCAATCAAAAAATGCAACAATTTGAAATGGACAGGTTCCTTTCAGAAGAATACAGATGTCTAATAAATACTTAAAAATATGTTTAACATCTCTGGTTGTCTGAGAAATGCAGAATAGATCCATGCAGAGATTCCTTCACCCTTTTGAAAATTCATTTTTATAAATAGAAAAACTTTTAAAAATTGATTTCTGCTTATCTGGTAACTTTATTCATTCCATAAAATCATATGTTGAAACACAGAATTATTCCCCATTCTCAAAACTATTATGTTAAAATTAATATAGTGTCTATGCATAAATTAAGTGGATTCAACAAATCAAACTACAATAACTTAATTTTTTTCTTGCACTGAGTTCAGACAGTCATGCTGTAATTAACACTAGTAACAGTACTGAACATTGATAAAAGGATATCTATTACTTGATTAAAGTAGTAGGTAAATATCATTAAAGAAAAATTATAATTGGTTTTATTGAGCCTACACAAAAGAAGACAAAGACCTTCAGTTCATGCCTTCAGAGAAGACAATGTAAGATGATCAAGGAGTCTTCCTATTTTTCTAAACAAGTAAGATATATGTTAGAAAAGTGCTGTATTAGACAGAAAAAATTGCCTAATTTGAAACTTCAGATGAAATTTACTTTTATTCTACTGAATATTTTTTAAAAGTTTGTGTACAAACTCCTTCCTTTAGAAGACACTCAAATGTTCTGGCGTGCCTGATCCATGTTGCTACTGGTAACTCCCTTCAACCAGGAACGTGCCTGTTATTAAACAAGTTAATATGGTTGCAGCGAGGAAAAACAACATAAAGACCGTCGTGCATATTGGTAAGAGGATGCTAGAGGGACTTCCTATACTATTTGGGCAGGTTGAGGGAAGATCTAGAGAAGTGAAGGTGGGCTGCTCACCACTGGATATTATTAGAAAGCAGGGGCAATTTTTTATTTGGGAAGATCAGAAAGTTCATATATGGGAAGGAGATAGAATAAAGACAAAGATGAAACACATACAAAAAGAGCATTCATTCATTTAGGAACAAAGATGCTTGATATTTTGTGTGCTGCCCAAACACTGTGTTTATTCTTTCCTCTCCTCTCCTCTCCTCTCCTCTCCTCTCCTCTCCTCTCCTCTCCTTTCCTCTCCTTTCCTCTCCTCTCCTCTCCTCTCCTCTCCTCTCCTCTCCTCTATCCTCCCCTCCCTTCCCCTCCCCTTCCTGGCCCCTCCCCTCCCCTCCCCTCCCCTCTCCTTTCTTTCCTTCCTTTCTTTATTATTTTGAGCAGGGTTTTGTTACACAGTTCAGGCTGGCCTTGAACTCACTTTAGAGCCCAGGCTGGCCTCGAACTTGCAGCCATTGTCTTACCTCAGCCTCCTGAGTGCTGCAATGACAGGTGTGTGCCATCACATCCAGTACTTGTTTAAAGTAAATATTTGTGGTAATGTTTATGGCCAGTGGAAACACGATATAGGTTAGCTGCAAAATCAGAAAAAAATATGATAATACTCAAATTTAACTGTGGAGTGTTAGATTTATTCTTTTCTCTAGCAACGCTTCCAGTATCTTTCTCTTTTTCATATGAAATGTTTACCACTAAATAGAATAAACGAAAGAAGATGGTGAACTTTTTTGTTGGTAGTGGTTATAATAAAATCCCTTTTTAGATCAAACAGTGTAATAGAACTTTGCACATTTTGAGAAAAATTTGTAACTGTAATTTTTTATTAGTTAAAATTGAAGTAAAATATTTTTCTGAAGCTTATTGCAAAATTGCTCCATTTAAAATTTATAAGCATAGTTTTTAGGTTCCTTCTCTGAACTGTGTAGTTACTTTAAAATTGTATTCCAAAACTCCTTCAGTATTTCTCAAGTACTTAGAGAATTTACCCTGAAGACTCATCAGGAAGTTGGGCCAAACTCCTTAAACTGATTTGTTGGTGCATGACCCTGCTTGCAGAGGATTTATAGCTCAATGAAATAAAGCATGAAAAAGGTAAAGATTCATTGAAATTAAATAAGAAGCAAAAAGTCAGAGCTTGAGCACATTCCTTAGGGAAATTATTGTCAACTCAGACCTTTGGAAACTGATGAAAACCCTAAGAAACAGCAAGTAGATTTTAAAAACAACTCATCTCTGGTTGCCCAGTGTAGAGAAGAGATACGAAAGGTTTTGTTCCTTCAGTCCATAGTAGGAAAGAGCAGGGTAAGAAATTTTGCCTTGCAAGCAAAAAGCGAAACCAAAGTAATTCAATTTAATTACCTTGACATGTACTTATGAGTGCTTTTACTTCAAAGCAATTTTTCAGAAATATTGAGTCTGTGAGGCCGGGGGTCCAGCCACTTTCAATACAGCAATTGGATTTTCATTACTTTAAAAAAAGTTCAGACTAGTATTACAATCTTAATTTTATAACAAGGCTTTATTTAAATTATTACTAAAATTGCCACATGAGTCTGAACTAAATTAAATGGAGTTAAGGACAAATCCTTTAACTTCTAACACAGGGACAGAGTTTCTCATGAAATTTGTATATTTACATAAAAGTAGACATACCTCAAAATAATAATGATAAATAGTATCATTAATTTTTGAAATTCTGAATCCAAGTTTGATTTCAGATAAAAATAATATTCCCTTGGATTAGTGCTACTTAGAGCAAATATTAAATTTTTAGATTTTGGCAGTTTTTAAAAAATAATTATGCTAGATTACCTTAACTAAACAATTGTGTATTTTTAAGGAATAGTTTGATTTTCACTTTGGCAGAGGCAAGTTTATCAGAGTTTATTTCTGTTATTCAGATATTCATCACAAAAATAAAATATGCCTATATTTAAAGCTTGGCACCTGTTGTGTGAGATTGTCTTTGTTTTCTTAGCCTTTTTTTTTCCTATGATAATTTTTAACTTATAAATGTAAACTTTTATAATAAAAGTTTAATAACAATAACTGATAATAAAATTATAGTACAGTAAAATATAGTACAGTAAAAGTTACTTGAATGTAGTGTCTCTCTCTTTCAAACTGCCTCAGTGTGCCGTACTGTCCTGTAATGATATGATACATACCATGCCAATGTGATGAGATGGAGTGAAGTGAATGATTTGGTATTGGACCTTAGCATCAGGCCACTGAGGAAGATTCACTTCAACCAAAGCACTACAGTAGCAAGACGGTTGATATTAACTATTCAACTGAAATGACAAACCTACAGGTGGTGTTCCCAGCATGGATTCACAGGACAAAGTGATATTCAAGGTCTGATGGAATGGGGCCGTGAGAAATTATACTGTGCTGCTCGGGAGTTAGAATTTCTGAATTTCTTATGTCTGAAATGTTTCAGTTAACATTTTAGACTTCCAATTGTGGATAACTGAAACTACAAAAATTAAACTATGGCTAAAAGGAGCCTAGTGCATTTTAGTCAGAAGGAAAAGTAAGAGAAAGGGGTGGGAATTCATGAAAGAAAAAGAAGAACATAGTTGCCTGGCTGGAAATTTTACCCTTAGTCTTTTTATTTGCATTTTTTTTAAATCCCAAGATAGTTATCTTTTAACGTTTTTGTTTATGTACTTGTTTTACTTAACAAATAACAAATTATATATTTTAGTGGTAGAATGTATGTCATAATACTTGTATATATTGGGGAATGATTAAATACTAATTAACATATCCATTGCCTAACATAATTTATAATTTCTGGTGGCAAGAATATTTGAAATCTACTCTTCTAGTGGTTTTAGGATACACAATACATTGTTTCTAACTCTAGTTATAAGCAACATGCTAGAGCACTAGAACTTACCTTTTTAAATGAAATTTTATAGACTAAAACTTCAGTCTTTCTGTCCCGCATTCATTTTTCCCCCCAACCTCTGGTAGTCATCATTTCCTAAATCTTCCTAAATTTCACTTTTTAAGACTCTAGTATGAGTGAGATCATATGATGTTTTACTTCGCCTGGCTTATTTCATGTAGTATGTCAGGTTTTTATTCCTCCATTCCCATTATTTTTTTCTGTTTTAAGAGGCAAAACTAGGGTCATGTTTATAGAAATCAACTCTGTTGACATTCCAAGATGTCATTCTGCAGCATTAAATCCAGGTAAACCTGTACATAATTTCTTTGAAGTCTGGGAATAATAAATTAACTCCATATACAGTATTTTTGAGGACTATGACTTAACTAGTTATATTGTGAAAAAATATTTTGCTTCTGTTTTGCAATATTTTGGTGAATTTTATACACATTATTAACACTGTTGTCTCTCAGAGTCATAGAAATTTCAGATATGGTCTTAGCTTACATTATTGCATATCATCCAATAAGGTAAAGGAAACCATACATTGAAAATACATAATTATCATGGTCTTTCAAATAAAATGGATTAGACTGTAAGATACATAAAGAATACAGTAACCTTGAGGAATCAGAAAAATTTTACCATACTAGACTATAATTATCTGCTGCCATTCTTTTGATTTTTTTGAACAGTGACTTGAAAACTAGATGTCTGTTTATTAGGTGTGATTTTTAATTGATAAAATATCTGTAACTCTGTCACAAAAATATACTTCTGAGTGACAATTTGAATATGTAATTCAATTCTATGATTAAAACAACCTATTTTAAAAGTATTTCTGTGGAGGAAAATCTTCAGAAATATTCTAGCTTCTTTGTTTTCAATGTGTACATGCTACCAATTCATGGATGATGGAAAACTATTTTGTGAATACAATTTATCATGAATATTTTTTTCATTTAAAACAATGCCAAATGAATTTTTAATGTGTTCACAGGATATAAACATCTCAAATATACTATATAATCTGACAGTTGGTGTGTTAATGAATTTTCCTCAACAGAGTTCCATGACACAAATCCCTTTGGGTTTATTATCTGAAATTCCCAATCTCTTTGAAACTCCTTGGGGTTGGGATTATACAAGGTAGAATAATTTAGTCGTTGAGGCCATATTTTGTACATTGGCATTTCTTTTCTGGAAGAGAGGAAAGTCTTAGTTTAAAATGTGCTTAAGGATTACTTTCATAAAAACACATGATAAAGGCTTTCAAAGTAAAAATCACTCAAAAAAATAACAAGATTTTGTTTATTCCTTTAGCAAAATGCAAATCTACAGAAATATTTGGCTAGTTTTGTTCACAAAGTAAACAATTAAAAGTAAGCTGGAATTAACAAGTAAGAATTACTCTCTTAGCATTTAACACATTTAAAACACTCCTAATATCCAGCATTTCTTTATACAATAGAAGAAGTTCTACTAATTAATGTATCCATTGTTCTACTACTGGAAGTTCTTTCTCACTGAACTTTCCATTAGGGTTAATGCGTTCTTTTACCATGTCAACATCTCTTAAAGTATAGTCAAATTTATTTTTAAGGAATTATTTACTTGCTACAATAGATGAGGTGAATAGGGTCAGAAGAAGGAAAGCGTGAAGGCCTTTAAATGCTCTCTGCAGTGGTAGAGGAAATTGTGAAATACAAATTTATTAATAGAAATTAAACCTACAAGAAAATCTCCTGGGAACTTGAGCGGCAAACATGGGAAGGTTTAATACTTCTCCCTCTTTCTGCCTGTTGGTATGCTCCCTTTATGTCATCTCAGTCTGACCTCATAATTTTTCTGCATGTTTGGTTATAATGACTATTGGATGTTATCTGTTTCATAGGTGGAGAGAAGGAAGGAGCGCGGTGGCCTCACTGACTTTCTCTGTCTCTTGCAGCCCATGTCTGTTGCCAGTGCTTTTTAAGCCATTGGTCTTGGGAGAATAGCAGTTCACCGTACCTTTCTTCAATATTTCATGGTAAGTGTATAAAACATTTTATCAGTTTTATATCAAGAGGCAGGCAAGGCATATTAGGCCAAAGAACAGGTCTTTTAAAACTTGGCTTTGGATAATTCAATGACTTCAAACTCAACAGGGTGCTTTCTGTCTCCTCCATAACCTGAATTCTCCGGAAGGCACTCAAGACAAGACTAGATGTTAGTCAGTGCCTTATGAAAACTCGTGAAATCATTATACTGTGAGGAACTTATAATGAAGGGAAATGTCTGTTAATAAGTGCAAAACTACATGACAGCCAAATACATCCAATGCACTTGAAGTCACTGGAGAGAGTATACTAAGGTAGAAATCATAGAGTCAAAGGAATTCATTAATTTGTCCAACCACATCTTTTTTTTTTTATTTAACAGATATTCTTTGAGTCCCTATTGTACAGAAGTGTATGGTGGAGCTTTGGGGAGATGACTGGATCATGCGTGTGTGCTACTGGATTAAGGGTGTGATACGTGGATCAGTCCACTTACTCATTTAGCATAGCTGTAGTTGTGAGTGGGGGGATGGCCCACCTTGGGTCTGGGTGGCACAAGCCAGTAGGGTTGTAACCTGAATTTGTTGAAAAGGGGAAAGAAGGCTCATGAAGCTGCTGCCTGCCTAGCATGGCATGGACTGCTTTTCTTTCACCATGTCCCTCTGCCCTGGCCTAGAGCCAACCAGCTATGGACTGAAACCTCTGCAAACCGTGAAATGAAATGAACTTCTTCTATCTTAATTTGTGGGTTTTGAGTATTTTGTCCCATCAATGTGAAATTAACTAAGTTAGGCAGTTACTGTGACAGGATCATGGAGTTTCTAAAACATACTTTCATTTTATCTTTCTATTTTCAAATGGGAAGGAGATTAAGAGATGGAGGCCGGGGAGGCAGAGGAGGGGAAGGAGATGAAAAAGAATTAAAATGTGTCAGGTACATGTATCCAGCTCCACAAAAGGAATGTAAACATTATGTACTGCAGACATGTATTAATCACAAAGTAAATTAAAAATGAAGAAAAGATAGTAAACGAAAAGCAAGATAAGAATACATTTGTGTTGAAGTGAAAAGAAACCAAGAAAAGAGCTCAGAAATGTTTTTAATTTTTTCAGTCAACAAAAAATGTTATGTAGATCAAATAGAAAACAAATAGGAAAATTGTTGTTTTATCCCATATATTTCAGTAATTACCCTAGGTCTAAGTCTATTAAATAGTGAACACAAATAGTGAAATATAAATATTAGATTTGATTAAGCATAAAATCCATATATATGCTGGTTACAAGAAGTAAACTTTAAAGGGACACAAAAATGTTAGTGAAAAGATGGAAAAATACTTTTATAAATAACATCATCCTAGTCAATGAAATGTCCCTAGTTGTAATAATATCAGATTAAGTAATATTTACAATAAGAATTCTTTTTCATTTTAAAATTTAAAAAAAACTAAATTTAAAAAAAATTTAAAAAAACTAAAACAACAATGAAGACAAAATCAAAAGAACACAAAAACAACAAAAATGATACACGATCTCAAAACAAAGCGATAGGAATTAACAATGGTTGCTACATTACATGCTGTTATCTTCAACAAAGTTGCTCAGTCCACCAGATGTAAGAATGTAAGATTGATCAAACAAAGACAGTAACAAGTAATAAAAAGAAAGTGGAAATGATGGAGAACTTCACCATACAAATGGTAGGAGTTCAGCAATAGTTCTTGTACTGCATATTGTTGTTTTCAGATCAGTCATTCTGCTTACCAGATTCAAGCTTGCACAATTGGCCAAGAAAAAAGAAAATGTTAAGTACTGACTGTTCCTTTCACAGACACCAGCAATATACCTATCCCAGCTATCCTTGTATATACATATAAATTTTTTTTTCATTTTAAAGAGAAAAGAAAAAACCCCAAAATAATAGAAACAAATATGTAAACAAAAGAGGAGGGGAGAGGAAAAAGAAAGAAGAGGAAAAAATATGTATATATATACACAGGATAGCTAGGATATTTGAACTAATAGTATCTGTTGGTTTATTGAAAGGTACTGTTAATGTGTAATTGTTTGATCAATCTTGCATGCCTATATCTGTTTATATGTGCACCCATTTTGAAGATGACATTAGGTAGTATAACAACCACTGTTAATATCCTATCACCATGTTTTGAAATACAGCAAGAATAATAAAGACTTTTTATAATGCAAAAGTGGTCCTTCAGGATGGTATAACAATTCTTTGTCTACTTATGTGCAATTACTTAGCTTCAACTATAATATGTAAAAACACAACACTTCTGGAAGGAAAAATAAATCTACAATGCTCAATATGCAATAAAATAAGCAAAAACCATTAAGGATTTAGAAAATTATTAAACTTGATCTTTTTGACATTTTTATACCTGTGGCTGACCATGGCAGAATACAGATTATTTCCATACAGCATCGTGAAAAAATGTGCTGCTAGCATTGGTTGACATTATTATTAAACTTGACCAGATTTTATATTATGGTCACCCAGTATATACTCTGACAGTAGCTGTTGTATTTAATGAAAAAGATTAAAATATAATTAGAAAAATTGTAGCAGAATAAAATAATTTGATTTTATCTTATATAATTGTACATAAAGAAGTTTTCTAAAATTTTCAATAAGCAGGTGTGATGATGCATGCCTGTAATCCCAGGCATACAAATTGAAAACATAAGAGAATTTAATAGATGTGATAGCATCACACATACTATTTTTTTGCTTGAGAAGTTCTAGTATTTTGTAAGAATGAAGCATTTTATCTTGTTCCTTATTTAATTACATTGCCTCGTGATCTATTACAATTTGAATAAAATTGAAAAAAAATAAAAACTTCTAAATAATAAAAATGTCCAAATATGAGGAATTTTAAATTTTGTGAATGCCTGAGTCAGGAGGATCCCTAGGAGTTCAAAGGCAGCCTGGGCTACAAAGTGAGCTCAAGACCAGCCTTGTGAAACTCTTGTCTCAAAAAGACCAAAAAATAAAATAAATTTTAAAAAATAAATAAAAATTTCCAATAGATATCATACCAAATTCAAAATTGATAACATGCTCAGTGTGACATTTTCTAATATATTTTACAATATAAACTTTATTGAAATTTAACAAAACTTGAAAGTATTTTGTTCCTATTACACAGGCAAGGGTCAGTATTAGGCCATAGATAAGTAAAACAAGTCAGTAAACTGGACTGAAGTTCTGGTACAACTGAATATTTCTAGAAGATTTAGTGGAGAGTATCCAACACTTAGAATTTTCCTGTTACTCAGTTTTTCCAATTCCATTGGATAAACTGGACATGATATTTTTTGGAACTTAGGAAACATGCCTTGAAGCAAATATTTTTCACAACAGCACTGTAGTAATTCTGTAATCTTCTATCTAATATGTTTTTCTTCAAAGAAAGTCATATTTATAAATCCCTGCCAAAACTCACATACCACAATATTGAACATAAACCACTTGGTAATAATAACTCCCAATTTTTTTTGTTGTTGCTATTTCTTGTGTCTAAAACACAAGCCATGATAGGAAGGGATGCATGAGAACAATGTTTCTTAGAAAAGATTCAAAAACAAAAGTATTAAAAATGTTCAAAATAACCTATAATGTTTGTGAGGATGGAAACTTTTGACCATGATGTAATCTTATAAAATATGATGAACATCTGTTGTAAGAATTTTCATTCATTTTATATATGGACTTTAAAAAATTTATATATAACTATCATTCCTGTAAAATTGAAAACATAAGATAATTTAATAGAAGTTGTAGCATCACATCTACTATTTCTTTGCTTGAGAAGTTCTAGTATTTTGTAAGAATGAAGTATTTTATCTTGTTCTTGACTTATTCTACCTGACATTATCTTGACTTATTCTACCTGACATTAGCACTTCCTATAATGCTACAGTAATCGAGATGGTATGGTGTAGCATAATGTTAGACAAATAGACTAATTAAATATAGTAATGAGTCCAGAAATACAACCACTTAGTTGCTTAAGGAAAACTCAAATATATGTCCTTTAATTGTACACAACATTCATATCAACTTTATTCATATGGTTTGGGAGGGGCATGGTTTGGCCCACAGCTCTCATGCCCTACCCCTTGCTTCTAGCTTTCTCCCTAGTCTCCTGAGGCTGAATTGGGACAGTTTGCCTCAGTGTCCCCCCAGAAATTCAATGTAATTATTTAATTACATTGCCTCTTGATCTGTCACAATTTGAATAACATTGAAAAAAATAAACTCCTGAATAATAAAAATGTCCAAATATGAGGAATTTAACATTTTGTGAATGCCAGCTTGCATTAATTTTATATTTATGAGCAGTGACTAACTCAATTTTAGCAGCTTAGAATGATATTCATTATCTCAAGGTTCTGTAGGACACGAGGCCAGGTGAGGTTTGCAGCCCAGGGTCTGATAGATTAAAATCAATTTGTTAGTTGAGCTGAGTTTAAGGATAGAGGCTTTGCAGAAGACTTATGTTTCCAATATCATTCTGGACTTTAGTAGACTTTAGTTGATTCCAGTTGTAGGACCAAAGCTTGTTTCCTAAGACACTGTCACCCGGAGATGTCTCTGTACACTCTATATGCTCTGCCACATGACAAGTGCCATGTTTCAAACTAACAGAGAGTTTCTCTTTGTTTATTATCTCTGGCTTCCTTGTTTCTGATGTCAGCTGATTGGTCAGATTCACCGAACAATGTCTCTATTAAATTTTCATTTGTGTTGGGACTTCAGTAACGCTGAAAATTGTGTTTGCCACAGCATCTATAGTAACATTTTATTGAGTGAGGAGGAGGAAGAGGGAAGTGGCCACCAGCTAAAGGGAATCATAGTGCCCTAGGATTTTGCTTAAGTTCAAATAAAAGTATTACTTATATTGAGTGATTTAAAAAGTCATTATTAAAAACAAAAGTAGAAGAAATTGAGAGATAATGTATT